TCTGCAAAATGTTCTTCAAAGGTCATAAAATCAGTATATATGACGTGAAACGTATCTTTTTCAAAAAGCACTATTCACGTATTTTGGCAAATGAAAAAAGAAAGTTTGACCTTATTTCATTTTTCCTTTTTTCCCTGTGTAAAGAAGGCTGAAACTGCATTAGGCCTTGTTAAGGTTCCTGTATACTACCTTTATATACAAAAATGAATGTCTGTTTGACACTTAGTAACCATCACTGCTCACATACTTGTGTGTCCTTTACAGTGACATGCATGTTAAGCAGTACATGAAGCTCAGAGCATTCCAGATTGAAAACTTTTTTAGAACAATAAACATGGTCATGCTGAAGGAACTCATATAACTAGTATGAAAAAGACAAAAGAGGCTGTGTTGTAAATGGTTGTGGTCTATGAGGTTAATAAATAACTTGTGACATGTGGAGAGATTTTTCCACTTATATTACCAAGAAGAGAAATTCATATTGTGTGAGGCTTGAACTATTGTGTACAACATCTGCATTATTAGCAGTGATCCTGCTCTGTGTTGTCATCATCCATAAGCTTTTAAATGATGTATACAAAATTGGAAAAAAAGAAATGCTGATGATGGACAGAAGATTCTGTTCGTGTCTGTGTCTTTGTTCAATGTTTAGGAGTCCCACAAGAGTAGCACAGAGCAGGTGTTATAGTTGGTACATTTTTCACAGCCCTGCAGTGACACTGATGTGGTGGTGGTGTGGTAGTGTGTGTTCCACTTTTACAAGTGGATCAGACACAGCAGTGCTGCTGGAGTTTTAAACACTGTGTCCACTGACATCCAACTGTATTAGATACTTCTACCTTGTTGGTTCACCTTGTAGATGTAAAGTCAGAAATGATAGCTCATGTTTTGCTGTGCTATTTCTGTTGGTCATCATGTAGTAGTTTCTCAGTGGTCAGAAGATGCTGAGCACAGGATGCTTTGGCTGGATATTTTTGGTTGGTGGACTTTGTTCAGTCCAGCAGTAACACTGAGGTGTTTACAAACTGCTGTGTCTGATCCACTCAGACCAGCAAAACACACAGTAACACACCACCACCACGTCAGTGACACTGGAGTGCTGAGAATGACCCACCACCCACGTAACATATGCTTCGTGGGGGTCTCGTGGGGGTCCTGATCATTGAAGAACAGGGTAACAAAGTATGCAGCGAAACAGATGAACTGCAGTCTGTAATCTGTAAGAAATACAGAGTGCTTGTAAGTGGATATAATACAAAGTATAGACAGAAAGAGTTGTATTTAATGAAGTGGCCAGCTAATGTATATTTGAATAGTGTTGTCTTATAGTACTATTACTGTAAGTGTAAATTTCAAATGTTCAGTTAAAATTGTTCCAAGTATCAATTGTGATGTTCCATTGATGGTTTGTGGTGTTTTATATTTTGAAAGCATTACATTGATGTATTAATTATTGCAAGTACATAGTTTTTGTTTCAGTATTCTTTGACTGTACCTTTGTGTGTCTTTTGAGGGTGCTTGATTATTTACCACTTAATTATGCTTGTATGATAACCAATGTTATATTATGAAGATAAATAAAAAAATTCAGGAGTACTGTTGTATTGTCATTGAAAATTCCACAATATTAAGGCATTGATTGAATGATATGAAACAGTCCTTTAAGCATAATAGAGATGTAATACACAAAGTTAATTTTAACAGCACGAATGTTACAACATACGCACAGCATATAACAATAATACTAAATGAAGAGACATGAATCCTTTTCTATGAATAAAGCACTTTATTTTGCTGTGTTTGGAGTACATTGTAGTTGCTTAGATTCTTCAGATTATGGGAAACCATGACAGTGACTAAATTTTAGAGTTTTAGACTCAAAGTACAAAGACATACATGGTTGGATATGTAGGCATAATAGACTCACCACGTATAAATCCAAAATCTCAATTAGTTTATAGGTACAATTTCAGCAAGGACAGTAAATACTTTGAAATATGAGTTCTGTCATAGGGAGAACACCATGTGATCTTTTTGAGGGATAAATTGTGTCATATGGTGCAACCTGGTGTAGAGCCAGGCAGTATCAGAACCTTAGAGTCAGCTCTGTCCCCAGTATATTAGCTGGCTAAACACTGGACACCACTTGAACCAGAAAACATGTTCATTTTTATAGCAAGAAGCTAAGACGCTGGATGGGATGATGGCTTCAGAGACGAGCATATGCCAAAACAACAAACGAAAACAGCTAATAGTTTTACACCAACTAAACCTCAAAACAAAAAGAAACAAAAATACAAAAGCTACCCTAACTGCCTACATTCAAACAGGAGAAAAATGACCAAAACAAAAGGCACTCGTCCCCTACTTTTCCCAAAATTGCACAGAGATTTACAGAAACTAACAAAGCTGTCAGAATTTACAAGTGAAGTGTTGAGGGAAGAGTGTTGGAGTGGTTTACATAGGTGTCCTTGCAGGTGATGTCAAAGGGGAGAGAGCCATGAACATCTGCTTGGGTAGTGGCTCGGTAACTTATTACATACAACAGAGCGCAGTCATGTGGCCAATTAGAGATCTGCACACAAGGCAACAAAAGAGGGAAAACACACAAAATGGCCACAGAGAGAGTCACAAAGAAAGGTCACTACATCTGTGGGTCATAATGTACAATATGAGATATGATTGTATTGTGAAACAGCTGCTGTTGTTTCGAAATTATTCGAGCAATTAAAGCTATAATCTTAAAATGTAATAACTGGTATTGCACATGTTTGTTTTCTACCTCTGGAGTCATTTCAAAACATATTTGTAAGGAAAGTTGTAACAACATTTGTTTAGGGATATAAAGTGGCTTGAAGAGCAGTGATTTGGCAATGAAGTTGCTGTCTTTTTTGTGGGGCTTGCTGGTGCTGATATCACTCTGCCTTAGGTTGTCTCTGGCCAGGAGATCTTACCCATCATTGAGCTGATATCACTGCACCAGATATACATTTACAGTTGTGTGCTATTGGGCCCCAAGCCTGGAATTACTGCATTAAGTGGTGCATTCCATGTTGACAAAGTTTTGTCAGGTGTTCCTGTTCAATTGTCCTGACATTATTTGAAATAGAAATTCCATTCATCTCAGTCATGATGCCACTCTGCCTTAGGTTGTCTCGGGCCAGGAGATCTTACCCGTCATTGAGCTGACATCAGTCTATTGGTGGGGCTACAGAAAATGCAATGGTATTAGTGTCCACCACAGACAGCAATGTTTCTGCTCATGTTCTATAATAACATTCTTGAGCCACATAGATTTGCCATACAAGTTCAATGAAACACTGCAGTATGCAAAGGTTCTATTGCCATAAAGCAGTGTGTTATATGCTCATGAGGGAAAACATGTGCACACTTTTTTTTAGAAATGTGATGGGACTGAATAAACTATGAAGTTGATAGGAGTAAAAGAGCACATAGTGAAATATGATAATGTTTTTAAAATTGATTTTATGTCTAATCATTTTGTAATACGATTATCAGTAAATCAAATTTGGTGGTGTAAAAATTATTACATATACAAATACTTTGATTTATAAGTAGGTTTTAAATTAGTACTGTATCAGTGTGCTGAGGTATGTGCAAGATATATAACTCATGTTAGACAGTCATATATTGTGCAAATTACTTTTCATAATATTATTTTGTATGTTATTTTTGTATGTGGAAACTATTTTAGGACATTTAGTTTATAATTAATAGTATAATTAATTATATAAAATGTATAATGAATTATATAAGTATATAATTTATAATCATTAATGTCATATGTTTACTCATTGTTTTTTTATATCACTTCAGTTCTGCATAAATTTGCATATATCCTGCACATACCTTTATTTAAAAAGAAAAATATCCCCATATAGAGCTGAGGTGCCCTTTTAACTGTTCTATAGCCTGTATAGATCTTCTGAGAATTTGTGCAGTAGGCACAGTCATTATTAAGACAACATAAATCTAAGCAACTACAATGTACTCCAAACACAGCAACAACATCAGCATATATAAATCTTCTGAGAATCTGCATAGCAGGCATGTTCATTTTTAACACAACATAAATGTAAGGAAGTACAACATACTCCAAACACAGTAAGTGTACATAGAAAACCTATATAACTCTTCTGAGGAATCTGAACAGTATGCAGGGTCATTATGAGCACAACATCCATCTAATCAAGTACCATGTACTCCAAAACCAGTGAAAAAAAATCCATTTAAACCAGTTATTGCGAGAGACATTTACATTTACATTGTTACATTTAGATCTTCCTTGACCTAAATGACCTGAATTAAAGGCTACATTCAGACTGCAGGTAAAAGTGGCCAACATTTGATGGTGTGGTTGTTCATATCATCTTCATGCTATAGCAAATATCTGTCTGAACAGATTACTGTTTTGAGTGGACATTGCATGCCCAAAGTTGGTGCCAAAATGATGATACAAGTTATACTCAGAAAAGGCACTTCTTTTGTGTAACTCTCTTTTGACTCCTTTGTTTCTTCATTTTTTTCTAAGCATCATTGAGGTTAAACGTAATCACTTGGAAGGTATTGTTATAAAGGCATAATTTCTGCATGCAAAATTCCGATCAAGTTTGAGTTGGATTAACACAAATTGTACATAAATAATCATGTGAGTGCTAAAACAGAGCACTGCTGTGTGTTTATGTTCTGGATTTCAGTATCAAATTACAAAAGTAGTCAAATTATTCTTTTTTTCCTCCAAACTGGCACAAAAACAAATACATTTGGGGCCTATAGCAGATATTATCATATTTAGACCACTTTTGCCTGCAGTCTGAATGTAGCCTTATAAGGGCACCTCAGCTCTAATGTTTTCCCACAGGGGCCATCCTCTTTTACTCTACCCCTGTATCCCCCTCCCCCCAACTCGCAGATGGTTTGGATTGAAGTGCTTCACTTAGTTCACTTAAGTTAAATATTAAAACAGTTCAGTACAACACATTCATGGTAGCTGAAATACGTTGGCATTATGGACACTTTAACGCTATCGCTAGTTATATCTTTTACATAAACGTGATCAATTAATGTTCCACTTTCAGTAGTTGCTTCTTCTACAACTTGAGTAAAGCCATAGTGTTGCATGATTCCATTAACTGTGCTTGTTGTAAGAAGATTTTCATTGAAATCTCCCATGATAACTTTTCCTCCAGGAAAGTTGTCAATGTGTTGGATCAAATCTATCAGGTTGTTATGAAATGCTTGCAAGTTGTATGAAGGTGGTCTGTACAAAACTGCTGCTGTTGTATTAAGATGAGGAATCACAAACTGCAGGCATTCCAAGTTCACACATGGTGACTGAACAACACTACAATTCATATGCTCCTTGTAATACAGACCAACACCACCATGTTGTTGCTCCTTTAGTTCAGCAAACATTCTTTCACTCGTGTCATATGAAACACACCTTGGTCTGCTATGAAATACAAATCCAGATATTTGTGCATCAGCTGCACAGTGGTCTGATTTTAACCAAGTTTCAGTCACACAAATGATATCAGCTTCCATATACCTTCTGTTTTGTTTTAGGTCTTCCAGGTGATATGACAGTCCTTGTACATTGTGCAGAAGTATCTTGCATGATGGCAGTAAGGGTGCTGAGTCTGACTGAATAAATGCAGGCATGCTCTGCATGAAACCTTCAATGTCTTGCTTGGCATATATTGCTTTCTCATTGAAATCTTCTATTATAAGGCCTGACAGAGACGTGACACGACTCAAAGCCACATATGCTTGTCCAGCTGCAAAGATCTTTTTGAGTGACACAACAGCCTTTTCCACAGTTAAGCCTTGTACTTTATGGATAGTGCAAGCCCAAGCTAATTTAAAAGGAAACTGACGCCGTATGCCCCCACTCTTGGTCACTCTCTCTTCCTCTGGTTCAATTGGTGTTGCTTTTTCTAGACCAGGTTTGAAGCATGGTTTCTTTGTTCTTATCGTTTTACCTGCCCTTTCATTGTCAAATGTTACGTATATTTTTGATGGAAATTGATCTTCACTATCAAAGCATATTTCATTAACTGTACCAAAAGCACCATTTACTAGTCCATCTGAAACATCAATGTTTTTGACAAGCATGACCCGTGCATTGACATCTATATGAAGTGATTGTGTCAGACATGTTTTGGAAACATGGGCATGATGGCCGTGTATTCTTTCCAGTCGACCAGTTTTAGCAACCCTTTCAAAGTCTTGTGCATGAATGGTAACAGGGTCTGAGCATGTTTTATACAACCTGTGCCTATTGTGATCATTAGCTTCCTCATTAGTTGCATAAATATGGAGATCAGTTCTGTCCTCTCCTTCACCTGTTTCACGCTGCTTCAGCATTGAGATATCATGTTCCAGCATTGCATCAGTTCTTTTGCGTTTCCTTAACCGATTGAGTAACTGTGCAAATTCCACGTCTTTTTGTCTCAATATATCTGTGAGCTCAGCCAAAGCAAAATGGTTCTGCCATAGATTCACACCTACAGAGTCAGCATACAGAGGTTTTCCCTTTACAGGACCAAGCTGATAGAAGTCTCCAACTGCAATAACTGATACTTTTCCAAAAGCAGAGAAATCACCTGTCTGTTTGATCTGTCTCAGTCTGCCGTGAACATAAGCAAGAAGTTTGTGATCAACCATTGAAATTTCATCAATAATTAGTATCTCCAGCTTTCCTATCTTAGCTCTGAGTGAATTTATTTTGTCATCTCCTAGTGGTTGATAAGGCAATTTTACATCTGTTCCGATGGAGAACAAGGTGTGAATTGTTGCAGCATTGATGTTGTAGGCACTGACACCAGTTGGAGCTGTTAATAGTATGTGTATCTCATCAGGGTTGTCTGACAACACAGATAGGATTCGAGATGCTTCATAAAATATTGCTTTAATCAAGACAGACTTTCCTACACCTCCAGGACCTGAAATGAACACATGAAATGGCTCAGGATTTTCACCACATGCCTTCTGTAAACACCAGTTATGAATCTGATAGAATATTTGAGACTGTTTTTCATTGAGTGAACGAAGCAAAGCCACTGCTTCTTTCTTTGGTATACCACAAGGATTATCTTGTACCACACTGGTTTCCTTTGGTAGCAGATCTGGTATGATATCATTACTTTCCCCAATTTCTGCCTCTTGCACTGATTTCATAGCAATACATTCTAATCGCTCATGTTCAGTTTCTGGACAGATTTCTGCCCATGCATCCTCCATTGGACCATTTCTCTCTAAGTGTTCTTGAGCTTCATGTATGGAATCAGCTTCTTTCTCAAACATTGCCATGTTAGAATCCACTATATTTTTCACTAAAAGTAGTTCATCAGAAAATTTTACAAACCCGGTCTCATAAAATTCCTGGTAAGTATTGAAATTGTTGGGTTTCAACTGATCATGTGAATAATGAGGCAAAAACAGCTGCAAAATACTTTGATAATATTTCTCTGGATTCTTTGTTGGTGAGAAACGGGCATATCTAACAACAGCAGCGTCTGTGTGTGACCTTTTCTTTATGAAGCCTAATCCTTTGTCCAGCTTTATGCAGTCAGTGGATGAGCTCTCAGATTGTGACAGTACTCTGTACTCAGATGCAAATGTTGCTAGACACATTTCCACAAATTCTGTAGTTTTAGGCCTTCCTTTATATCTGTCACTGATGCTGTGCATCCAAATGTTTTGGCTGTCTTCATCACCACATTCAGCTTTCCTCTGTAACACATTGAGGGGTAGACTCATTCTGATAGCATCTCCAGTTGGAACAAACTGCACTTTGCGAGATCCTTGTTTTAGTTTCATGTTAGTGAGGCGATAAACACTTTCCTGAGCTGAAACTTCACGATTATGTAGGAAAACACTGCCCAGTTTGCGTAAAGCTTGTTTGGCATCTAAATTTCCTTGTTGTGAAGCCTCTTTCTGAGCATGTGACAACAGCAGTCCCATCTCTCTTTCTGCTTTGGAAATGCAGGAGATGATGTACACAATACAGGAATATGCATCAACCACAAACTGAATGTCTATATTTGCATTCCATGCAAGTAAAAGGTCTCGGTTATATTGATTCACCCACACATCACACGGTTTTCTCTTCAAAAGAACACTAGTTTTTCTCGTCATGCGTATGTAAGCAGCTTCAAATATTTCCTGATTTATTCCAAGTGAAGCAAATAAATCATCAGCAGATTCAAAGTTATGCTCAGAACTCAGTAAAGCATTCTTTACCCCTTTTAGAATAGATTCCGCTAAATCTTTTTCTATTCGCACACTGTTTCATTTTTGCTGAGTTTGCAGAATCTCTCTCCTCTGCAGATTTCCCATCAACATCCTTTTCAAGTTCATCAGTTTTGCATCTTGTGATAAATGTTCTGTTAGTTGGAGGACGTGGAAAATTGAACCTGCATGGTGTTCCTTTCTTTTTGCATGTTTTTGAATGTCTTTTGCTGTGTTGTTGGACACTGGATACAATTTCATGCATTTCTGTGTCATCATCTGGTGGCATTTCACATGTAACATAACGGTCAACAAATGCTACAACGTCATCATCATCATCTTTATCAATCTGAGGAGCATTTTCCACCCAGAACAAGCAGTGAGTGTGAGGTGAGCCACGCTGCTGAAATTCTACTCTGTAAAAGTAGTCCACAATTTTACCAATTGGCTGTGCTTCAGACATAATCACATCTTTAAGAAAGCAGTGGAATCGATGGTCAAACATTCTAGCAGCTGTCACTGGGTTGGTCTTCAACAGAGCGCATCGTTCTGACCAGTCAAGATCATCAACTGCTACTTCTTTTCTCTCTTGTTTCAGGATTGTTTGAAGTAGTTCAGGCCATCGCAGATCAGCAGACGAGAATGAACAAAACCATGTAGGAATACCCAGCTGCCTCACCATGGCGAACAAGTCTTTCTGAACACTTTGCCAGAAAACAGGGGTCCCTCTTATGGGTTTGAGGAATTTGTAGCCTTCATCAACATTCAAAATCCTTTGTAGGGAGTCTTTGTTTGTTAACATTTCTGAAGTAACATCTCTTTTGATTGTGTCATGTCCTTTCCTCAAAGCAATTGAAACATTTGATATAACTTGATTTAACTCTGATATATATTGGCCATAAAATAAAAAGTCCAAGTTTTTTGCAAACCGCCCATCTGCATTCAGTATTCTTGTATTTAAATATCTACACAATGTGAGGTTTTCTTGCCTTGTATCATGAAAAGTGCCTGTGCCTTTTGGAAAAAGAACTGGAAAACACTTAGCCTCATTAGATTCATCACATAGAAGCCTCACAGGATTATTTGTTTCCCCAGGTGCCACAGAAATGATTCCGTCAAAGTGTTGGTCTAAAACCTCCTGAGCTATATCAACAGGTTGAAGGCATGTATCCATGAACATACCATGTTGTTGTCTATCATGCAGAGTGTCATCAATGCTGTCGTCCTCACAAGTGCTCTTAGTGTTTTCCTCATCAATATGTTGCTCATAAGCATCATCATGCTTGTCTGCTTCTGGAGTTTTACTGAGTGGATTAATCCAGTCATTGTTAAACTCAACATCACTATAGAACTTGTTATGCTCTTTCAGATACATCAGTGCATTTTGTACCTTTTCTGGATGGACAAATTGATACTGATAATGCCCTTTGTATGTCAATTTCCTCTTTAATTTCACACGAATCATCAGATCTGAATTTTCTGATCTTGGTAAAACTTGGGCTACATCTGCAACATTGGAAGGCACACAAGTTACAGGTCCATGAACACCATTTTGTCCCCCTTTTGGTAAAGACACAAGTCTCATGAATGGAATATGCAATGCAATTAAATGCCTGAGTTTAGACTCTGTAACTCTGGAGGAATTGGATCCAGTGAAAGATTATTCACAACACTCTCTGCAGGCATTTTTTTATTCAGAATCTTTCTGTGACATGTGAAGCAAATCCATAGTGAACCAGCAGGGCCAGTTTTCATAGAACAGTCATCGGAGCACACATCACTGCATAGATGTAAATATGTGTCTGTGATACATTTTTCCGCCACAGATGCAACCAAATGATCTCTTTTGAGATAGTCATCCTTTCTGCATTTGCGTACTTGGTGTTTGAATAGTGTTCGGTGACATACTGAACATACGTATTCTGGCCCTCTGCTTATTTTTTCTCTGAAATTTTGAATGCAATAGTTGATTTCTTGCCTGTTATTCTTTTGTGTATTTCTTCTTTCTGCATTTCTGATTTTAGTGGCATTAGCATAAGCACTGTCTGTCTTATATCTGTCCATAGTACTTTGCTTTTTAGCTGTTTGATACACTGAATCCGTATGATACAATTCAAAACTCTTCCTTTTAAGTGCTTCTCTGTGATCTTCATTTCTGGAATATTTATTAATGCTTAATTGTTTTACATGTTCTCTGTGTTCCTGGTCTGTGGAATATTTATCAATGCTTAATTGTTTCACATGTTCTCTGTGTTCCTGGTCTGTGGAATATTTATCAGTGCTTAATTGTTTTACATGGTCTCTGTGTTCCTGGTCTGTGGAATATTTATCAATGCTTAATTGTTTCACATGTTCTCTGTGTTCCTGGTCTCTGGAATATTTATCAATGCTTAACTGTTTTACATGGTCTCTGTGTTCTTCGTCTCTGGAATATTTATCAGTGCTCAACTTTTTCAACTGATTTCTGTAAATTTCATTACCATGGTACAATTTTATACTTTTCTGATTTTTTTCCTCCCTGTATTCTTCATTTTTATCATACTTCCGTTTCTGCCTTTCAAGCTTGCGGCGTGTTGATACATGTTCTGATTGCTTATTTTCACAACTAAGTGAACAGACTCCACTACAACTACTGTCACCAGTTTTAACACATATTACAACTTCATAGTGTGACTGATTACAGTGTTTCAGATAAATTCCTGTATCTCGACTGCAAACTCTGGAATGATGGCATGGTGCATATTTCAACCATTTGTTGTCAGTGTATGTGAAAATGTTTACACCAAGGAAGTCAGCAGCAGCCCGAATTTCAACCTCAGTGGCCCAAGTTCCAACATATTTCATTCTACTGTTAGAGATGTATTGTGGAACAGAACAGTAACCTTCTCTGAGATGATGAACATAAATGGCCTCGTTTTTCTCCATGTGTGAAACAACAGCACGTCTGATTTTCCTGTGTTCAATTTCACTTCCAGAAATCCCAAAAGCTACTGACCTGAAAAAGCAGTTACCATCAGCTGTTATCACTTGTGTTTGACAAGGCTCTGCCAGCGCTACTGCTGCATTTAAGTGTCCATTATTACACTCATTGTACAAAATATTCAGTTTCAGACAAGCGCTCTTCTGCTGCTGCACTGTTAAAGGATTGAACTGAAACCTTTCAGTTTGTGTTTCACTAATCAACACTACGTCACCTTCACTGTTGACGAGGCTGTTTACCGCTGATGTACGTTCAGTATTGCCGTCTGTACGTGTACGTTTTACTGCATCACTGTACAAAGAGCGGCTGCTGAAGGACTGTGCACTACCATAATCAGCTTCCTGCATTGTTCTTTCATATGTGACGCCTTGGAGACGCTTCGTAACATCTGGGAGTTCACAGACAGACAGACAGTTATCATCACGCACATCGGACACTGTCCTGGCACCAGCAGGAATAACGAGAACACCAGTGACTTCAAACGGCTCACTTTCTGCTTGTAATGACAGACCCAGAATCGTGACGTGGTTCAGAAGAGACCCAATGTTTGCATGATAAGCTACTAAGCTTTTACCTGAGTCTTTATCCTCCTCACCATGGACATTTCGTGCATGAGAGTCAATAACAGCATACCAAGAGCCCTGTTTGACGATAGCACAGGTATTCAGTTTAACAGTAAATAAACAAGCATCAAAGTGCGTCAGAACGGTTTTTATTGCCTCATCATGCGACATGTACACATCCTGCATTTCACCATATTCACCGACACCAAACAGTCCAACGAACATTTCGTCACTGTAGCTCAACTCAAACCTGCGTCCATGTAACACGTGCTCTGTGGGCAAGTCTGTAACAAACAGGTAGCCTGACGCATCATGAATCGTGCCTGCATCTCTAATGCTACTGTACAGGTCGTCCCCCTTCAGCAGGATGTTGTCAAGGTCTCTTGTAGACCAGCTTAACATGTTTTTCACTCTGGACATCATTATAGCCGTAACACTATTAGCAACACACTGCTTATTACTATTGACGCCAAACCTTGGGTGTCGCTGATGGAAGGAGCCTCTCACAGTCCGTGCCTGAGGACGATCAAAACAGACAGATAAAGTCACAGGGTTTTCACCACAAACAGCGTCAGAGTTCGACTCGAATGACTGATCAGATATGGACCCGAAGGCATTGACAGAGGTACTGGCAGAGGAATGGCAGAGCGTATTGGACCCGAAGGCATTGGCAGAGGAATGGCAGAGTGTATTGGACCCGAAGGCATTGACAGCGGAATGATCAAGTTTATCACAAGGCTTATTGCACGTCTTATCGGTACCACATGGTACAATCTTCTCAGGGACCTTTTCAACATGGGGAAAAGGCAAGTCATTTCCGACCTTTGTGTTGTGGGCAAAAGGCATAGACCCGTCAGACAGAGCCTTTTCGTCGTGGGGATGAGGCATAACCCCGTCAGTCAGAGATGCAGCGCTCGGAGCGCTGGCCTGGCGAAGAGGTGGGCTGCAGCTCACAGGACCAGTCTCAGTCAGGACCTTTTTGGGTGAGGGTAAAGGCATAACCTCGTCAGACAGAGCCACAGCCGGGACAGCTCCACCGCGCTGGTCCGCCATCCTCTTCCTCGCCACAGCTGACCGCCTGGACGCCTTCGTGCGGGGCATCTGAAAACAGAAAATACAAGAAAAAAAAAGCCACGAAAACATGAGTGTTCAATAACACAAAACGGTACTGACATATACTGAACGCTACTGGCAATTATTCAATTCCTAGGTTAAAAAAAAGCTCCTAGTTTTATAAGAATCCTGTTATACTTATCATATATTATACAGCATTGCAATGTATAGCCACACTAAGTTTCAGTTCATTCTTAGTCTAATTAACATCACAGTAACACTGCAAAAACACCGGTTTCACACATTTAAACACCATGATATAAATGTGTACTACAAGCTACATGAATAGAAAGAAATATTTTCCATAACACAGGACCTGTCACATTTCTTTACACTTTACACTAAAAAAAAATAATAATATTCACAGTATTTAAACTTAAGTACAGCATGTGCTGCATGTTATACTACCACACACATAAAAGAAATCCTGCATATGGGCACATCAAAACCATCTGCACAACAGTAAATATTTTAATTACATAACAGCATCACAGTATTGTTCTACACATTTTTGCTAGTGAGACACTACACATCTTCACTGAATAAGACTTCTATATATCAGCTTCACTGCTTCTGTGTGTGTGTGTGTGGCAGGTCTGATGTTGACTGTGCAGCCTTCTGTCCAATGCAGTCATCTTGCTGTTGGGCCAAAGAGAAACCAGGACCAGGAACATGATGTTGACCAGCTGTCGAATACGCCGTTCAGACGCCCTGCTATAATAAAGCCATCGTATGCACATCTGGTTTTTACCATTTAATAGAAGATTTAGAAGATTCCACAGAAATCAACCACCTTCTCACCCTGCACAATACATCTACCTGTGTGTACATGCATCTACATAAAGAAATAACCTTGACTGATGGTCTACTTCATGCCATCAGTTCTCCATACTGCTATACTATTACGTTATTATATAAGCAATAATTTGTAACTACCAGGAACTCATAGTGTAATTTCAGGTATGCAGTATGCCCCTGAGCACACCTTCAAGTCTTGATTCTGCTGAAACAGAACAGCTAAAACAGCATTAAGAAGACAGTAAGTTTTCTATATTATGCTTGTATTATTACAAATACTGAAGCATATTTAATAAAAGACTCATAGTAACATTTAGTTCATTCAATGTGAATATTTCTGCAGCTCAGTAGCCACAAAAACAGGAAATGTAATGATCACATTAGCTTTCAGTACATTGATTCTGAAGTAACCATATGAATCTGTGTACCACTGTACGTATAAAACCTGTCTTAGACTACAGAAGTAAAACAAGTGTTTATAAATGATATAAAACTATGTGACATTGGATAAACATACCTTCAACAACGTCTGAAGTATTACGATTTTCCAGCCACAGGAAATTTCCCAGAAAACAGAGACGTACAAAAATGTCACAATTCATGTACGCAGTCATAAATATTTTCATAATTCAACATGAACTTGATATTAATTTAGCAATGCTACAGAGAATTTGATTGCAGATTGCTTATAACAATCACACTTAATGACAGAGGTATAAATGGAAGAACTGTGATTCCTTTTACAGCTTAAAGGGCCTGTTGTACACTGAAAAATTATTTCCTCAAATTAGAATTGTCAGACTATTCAACAAGAAATAACACTGGTATACTACTGAACATTAGGTCACTATGAAAGTACTGCCACTGCTGGTAATTCCACAGTCATGTTTCCCACTCCATGCAAAACATTACTCCAAAGTCAGGGACTGACTGAAAAAGAACTTGACATTGACAGTTTCATGGCTTTATCTGGGTACAGTAGATTAATTTTTATGCACCAATTTTGTTTGAATCTGTTCCAAAAATTTTCATCATCATGATGCATGTTTTCCATTGAACACATACCTGTACTTCTTACTGCTGAATCTGCCAACTTCCCATTTCCAGGTACACACACACACACAAAAAACACATTCAGAAGTTTAACTGTGCAAGTATCTCTGAAACCAGATAGGTCACAACCACAGGCAACAGTTATATAATGAGCTATTCTATTTTAGGGGAAAATTTTCTTTGTTCACTGATTTCTTCACTGTTAAAATATGGTAAATACTTTTTCCTTTTACACTGATCACAATTATACACTGAGGCACAATTTACCAACTTCTATCCTTAAGGCATTGTACTATGCCCATATAAGCGAACTCAATCCTAGCACTACACACAGCTGTCAGTCTTGGTTCATAATAGATACTGGGACACCTTTTGTATACAAGTGAGCTGTTTGCTGATTCATGATTAACGTTGAAAAAGACTCGGAACAAAATAGTAACAGCAATACTTACCAAAAGGTTTCCATCAGTTGTCACCAAATCCAGCAGCCACATAATACACAGAGAAAGACATTAGTTAGTTCAAACGTGTATAACAAGCTGGCTGTTACAAGGGCAGCTTTGCCGTCATTATGCTGTCAACTCCATTTAAACCTTTCATCGTAAGACTCTTTGCTGCCACCTAAAATATCATTTCCAGCAAAACCACTATGGAAACTGAACAAAAATGTTTTCATGTAAATCAATATCTACAGGACAGTAGACTACAGGACCACGGTTGTGAACCAGTGGTCATAGCACAGGATTTTTTTTTAAGGACAATTCCACCAATTTTTATACACTTCTGAATAATTGGGTGCTTGAGATATAAAGACAGTCAGAATGGATTGGTGTGAAATTACTCATTAGACAAACGTCTTTACAACAGTGATAACACAAGTAGCCACTTTACTTAGTATCGTAAACCAGGGAACCTACATGTGTTGTGAGTTTTGTATGGAATATTTCAGTTAAAATACTCATAAGTCTGAAACAGTTCTTTCACTGTCCTAACTCTTTCTACTGCTAGTCAATCTTATCAAAAAATATTTTTGCCTGCTGTAACAAGCATTTCACCTTCATTAGCATTAACCAGCTTATACACTTTATTCAATTTATATATTTATACTTGCCCAGGAAAGAACATCTCAGATTGTACCAATTCCCATAACCTAGCCATGTTTGTTCATTTTCATTAACATCCGCCAAATAAAAGTGGCAGTGATGGAAGCGAATAATGTGGACATCGGGATAAACATGGGGTTGTTTAACAATCATAAAGTAGGGCAAAAACAGGGCAAACGAACCTTTAACTAACCATCTCCAAACTCTTACACTTCATGGTACGACGCTACTGAAACGTACAGGCCGCGCTGTTTGTCTGCATTGACCGACGATGCTTGTTTTGAGTTCGGGACGACGACATCAGGCGAAGCCGAGGGAAGCGGATAAAACACCGTTCGTCGGGCTATTTACACACAGCCAGTGTATAACTTAAGTATTGGGTCAGGGAAAGATTTTAAAAACTACATCTACACTTCACAGAAAACACAGCATCCTAAACCAGCATCATTCTACAGTCGACACCCTTCATAACCCTTTAAACTCGCACGTGCTGCCTCGTGCTCCACATGCTACCTGTGCTAATAAATTAGCCACAACAGTTTTACAGCGTTTAAAACGGGAATAATCAACTAAACACGACGCTACTGAGAAAGGCTCGCCTGTTAAAGACTCACAATAACTGTACCTTAAAGACGGACAAATATCGTACAAAAACACCCTAACTAGCCACATAGTGATTATTGAACAGTGACTATTGAACATAGTGATTATTAAACATGGTGACTATTGGACAGTGACTATTGAACATAGTGCCTACTGAACTCAGGGAGAAGCTCCTACCTCAATGCAGGATCGTAATGAAAGGGAAAGAATTTCCGCTCTCACTCGCTCTTAAGGCGAATTCCACAGGAAACGCTTTACCGTGGCTGAACTGATTAAAATAAAAGTCCTTTTTGAAATACACCACACTTCAAATACATCACTTTGCACATCTTCTATATTTAAATTTACACTGCTGAATCACTATGCCTACCCTGCCTGAAATGAAAACACAATTTCAGAACAGAAAATATCTCGCCAACACATTTAAATATTTATTGTCTACAACATCAGCTACACTGTCAACACTACAAGCTGTGCTACATAACCAACACGTTTTAGACCTTAAGATGTTATCATATCAACCTATTCAGTACATAAATAAATATATACATACAGAACCATCCTAAATTCTCAAAACATCTAATGCTCTTCTAACTTCAAGACAAACACTGTCCTAACTACTGTTTTAACTCTTTCTACTGTTAGTCAATCCTATCAAAATATGTGCTCAGTTGTGCTGCTTTAGTGTCTTTTCGGCCTGTTTTGTGCATTATATGGAACAGACATCCATTCCAGAGATCCAATCCTATCCAAGGCCAGTGTGTGCGAAGGTACGGTGTGGCTGTAGGTTTTCACTCTATCAAAGCAGAACATCACCTGATTAATTATTTAAAGAGCAAGACCCACTGATTAAATAAGTAAAATCAATTGTGCTTCAGCATCTTTACAGTGAAAACCCGCAGCCACACCGGCCCTTCGCAGATAACATGGAACACCGCTCATATAGATGTTCGTGATTGACCACACGGGGGGCGCTCTACACCCCAGAAAGACTTTCAGACCTCTCATTTATCTGACACCATCTCAAAAACGAACGTGGCACTTTAGCAATAACACAACCATGAAAACATACTAAGTACAAAGTTATATCAATACATAATGTGAATTATAATCTCCTAGTGCATTTACCTAAGTGAGCATATCTTAGTTTTGCAATGTTATACGTCACTCAGTTTTCCGTTGCAGTTATTCACTTCTGTCATGGCTGGCCTCAGGCTTTCTTCATTTAACACTGTGCTGGACTGACCAGCACAGTGTATACTGATTTACTTTGTAATCATGCTGACAGGGGTGTTATAATCTACATAACTGCACATACAACTTGCTTAATCTTCTCACAGATTAAAACTTCTGCTAACAATTCTTTACACAGAAATTATGTAGACTACAGGGCACAGTTCATTACAAGGTTTTTATTTTCATATGTGAATTTTTTTCTTAAATAAACATTATATTTCATATGTGAACATCGCAGAAGCTCCCAGCTCATGTGACATGCTGCTGTACAGCTGTGCAGTTGGACAGAAATCTTCTCAGCTCCTCTTTCCAGTGATGGCTGCGAATGTTTGTCTGCAGACCCAGACGAGACATCAATGTTGCAACTTTCACAGACATGACACACAGCCACCAACACAGCCAGCCTGACGGCTGACTTACAGACCAACACATATGTCTAATCAAGCATTTTGAAATTATTAACCATTCGTATTTTACATTTCCTTAAAATGCAATGAAGTCTACATAAAAACACCACTATTTAAATAAATGTACAACACAGATTCTTCAATTATGATATTGTTAGACACACCAAAAATACAACTAAACACTAAAATAATTGGTTTTAAAATAACACTCTACACAATCACATTAAACTTATAGAACACACTGAACATGATCCATTGTCATCTACAACATGTGTTATAAATTACTAATATTGATCAAATTTGGGTTTTATGAAGACACAGTAACCATAGTCACACTCATAGAACGGCTGATGTATAAAGTATGGTTTTCATGCTTCACTGTATCCATTTTCTATAAGTGGTGCACTACTAAAAAGTAAGCTTGAATGAAGCAGTGTATGTTCATACTCTCTGTGTGCATCATTTCAAAATGTGATAAACTAATATAACTGAAGATAACAATTGATAACATAATGTTACCAATATCATATACTTAGGTTTGTTCTGGATCATGGGATAAGGTCTGTGCCCTGATAAACTACTCCTATACACAACATGAAGTATATGAGTTTGATACAGTGTTCTGTGATGTAGTAACATGCTGAAGACAAAATGGCTGTTATTTGTATTTAATGTCACACAAACTATTACACTGTGTACGTGTGTTTTGGTTATATGTCAGGCATGCATTTACAACAACCCAGCTACATGAGTAAATTCCTAAAGTGATGTGCTATAATTAATTGCTAATGATCAATGGTAAATCCATTGTTTTCTAAAATGTGTAAGCACATAGATAAAACATATGAGATGTACAACTGTACCATCTGGTGAAACGCAGACGATGGTGCAATGAACGCTGCATGTTTTTGTCTCCTGAAGTCCATTTGTTATCAGCAGTAGCATTGACTGCAGTGATGTGGACATACATCTTACCTACAGAAAACACAAAAAAAACATAAGAATTAGCACTCCATTTAAAGACCTTTCCTGATATTAGTAACTACTACGCATGAAATGAGCAATCGAAGATACCTTGTGCAGGAACAACTGGGAAAATTTGTGATGTTCTAAAATTGGTTAAATCTTTAATCAGACTTATTTGATTATCATAATCCATAAACCTTTCTATTGATATAAAACAGAAACACAAACAAAATTATCTTTAGTACTAATGCTTGTGATATATATGTTACACATAAAACTATACTTTATCCCTTTGTATGTCACTGAAATGGTAGTTCTAATCTGCCTGTTGCTATAAATATTTTCACAAAATATTTCAATATTGATGATTATGTTTATCATGCAGAACACACATAAAAACAATATCTGTCATCACAAAACCTGATGATTGTTGTACAGTAGATGTCTTTACATTTACATAAAGATGCAAGTTAGATTATACTATTGAGCTCTTACAAAACCAATTAGTGACTGTCACTGGCTTTTTTGCGACACAACATGAATCACTTCAAACAAGTACATTACAACATCTAACTTAATTTGAATTCTGTTTGAAAACTTGTTACACTAAACAACAACTGTTCATCTGGTGACGCCTTAAAGGGTTGAGGAATAACAACCAATAACAATTCAAAAGTTACTTTTGTTGTGTGATTTTTCTGAGCTTCTGAAACAGTTCACTACAATGACTAACACTGTCTCAAAACAACATACTACTATCTCATGCAAATTATGTCAGTGAACATACTTGTAATAAGTGTGTATTACTTTTACATGCACTATTAAAGATGGTTCTTCATGGGCTCTTTAGTAAAGACAATAATTCTATTAACAACCATGAGCTCTATATAAGCAGTTCATAACTAAATGGTTACTTGCAGGATGACCTTCACGTTGATGTAGAATGTGTAGTATATAGTTCTATATAGAACCTTTTGGAAACTACTCCTGTATAACAATAAAAACAGTTCTGCTGCTGTTAGAAAAATATTTTTTGTGCTTCATAGAAACATATACCCAACACCTTCTCCATCAAACTGAGCAACTTCACCAACCACAGAACCACTTAAGCATCAAATGCACAAATGGTTCTATCTACTGCCATTCCATTTACTAAAATGTCTTTAAACACACTTCACCACACACCTGCCCTCACTGCATTTTAAAACAATGGAAAATACGTGTAGAAAGTCTGAATAACTTATAAATAAATAAAAGCTTCACTACACAATTGTGTTGGTCTGGATTCTACACACTGGACTATGGAACGTCTGTCAAAGTTGCAACATTGAGGTCTCGTCTGGG